TAGAGACAGAGATACGTATTACGTAATTATGAGCCCTCCAAATAAAGCTGAAAGCAGGGCCGACGAACATTTTGATTTAAGATCAAAATGTTGCTATATGCTATAATCCGAGGTTGTCACGTTCAGAGAAATTTCCTCGTAACCACTGATCTTTTAAGTCAATGTCACACGCAAGTCAAGAGCTTATTATCAGTCAATATTGCACACTTAATTCCGTTCTGCTTTCTTGCCTCCTTATTTTAAACAAGCAAAGTAGGATTTAAAATATCCACCTGGAGACAATGCAGTGGTGTACCACTTATTCTGGGAAAAGCATCAGCAGTATGGCCATATTTATATCATACGCTATTGTCACATACTGATATTAAATCATTTTTTCATAGAATAATTTGAAGGATCTAATCACGAAAGCTTAACATACTTTGTATATAATGTACTGATTGGTCCAAATAAGGGGTGTCAGGTGTACCTTTCCAACCGTACGTTTATTAGATAAACACGTTTATGACAAAATTGTGGTGGTTCAATGCAAACACCAAAAATTAAACTACCTTTATTTCCCAAATATGTTCAACCAAGTTATTAATACCTCTACCTTTTTTCACTATCATCAGGGCTGTCTTAAGCCATGCGGGGGCCCTGTCCCACAGGAGCTTGGGGCTCCCAAAGAAATCGAATACAGGCGTACTTCTAATAAAACATATTTATTGAATTACAAATTGCCTTACAACAATATTATGAGCTTTTTCCGTGATTTCATTTGGGCGAAGTCTTCAGTGATGCCGTCAAACTCCAGTTGCTGCAAAATGTCACTCTGTATAGACATAAGGGACAAACTGGGGAGGCGTCCTTGTGACATGGACGTTCTTGATCCATTTTTTGTCTTCTTCAACGTTGAAAAATACCGCTCTCCGCTGCAGTTAGTGACCATTAGACACAGGAAAATTATTGTTGCATTTTACTTATTTGGAAATGTTCCCTCCAGTTTGTCCCTTCTCAAGAGGCTATGCAATGCCGGAATATTTTCATTCGAATCATTTTTCAAGGTCAGCAGATATTGTCCCAAATGTGAACATTCTGATGTCAGTTCAGTTTCACTGATATCTTCATGATCAGTACGGTTGGAGTTATAACGACTATATGGCACTGTAATCGACTACTTTTATTAATAAAAGTTGTAGTAGTCTAGGTGATGGCTAGGTGGCGCAACCTGTAGCTTCGGTAAGATTTTGATTACCATTCACAAAATTTGAATCTAACACATTGCATATAAGCATTTGCCTTTTTTGCCCTCCTTCATCATGACGGGACCCTTGGGCCGGGCCCCGCGAGCCCCTGTGTTAAGAATATAATTTATTCTTACCCAGATTGGTCCAGAGAGGATAGATACATTGAGTGCATTCTGCTGACGTAGCGATGCAGTGCACTTATGCTAAATAGCAGCAACCTTGAGATAGCTAGCTTTGACAGTTGGACTAGACCACCTGACTGCTTTACGTTAACTCAACTTTGGAGCTGGCTTTCTTTTAGACTATTTTTGCCCCATTTCTATGAATTTGTGAAATCGCCTCTTTACTTTTGTAATTATTTTAGGGAAATCGCCCAGAAATCCTTTTCATTATTTTTGATTACTATTTTGACATCTTGCACGAATAGTTTGACAGTTTGAAGTACGTACTCGTTTTCCCCCGAAAGTCTGGGTAGTCTAGATCGGGACTTTGAGAAAGTGCATTTTTGAGGTATATGCATACTTCTTAGACTACCTATTTAGAGCGACAACTTTTACTGCGAAATTTATAATAAATTTTCCATAATAATTTGCAGAAGCTACAAATCTTTTCTATTCCTTTGCGTCAGTTGGCCTTGGATAACTTTGTAAGGCCTTGATTTGATCATCATCAGGTAAAATTTCATCATTTGAAATAGTGTGATCGAGATAAAGAATTTGCTTTGTCAAAAATTCACATTTCGAAGGGTTCAAATTTAACTAACTTCGCGACGTCTATTAAAATACTGATGAGATTTCTATTGTGATCTGCAAGGTTTTTGCTATAAAACTATTAAATCGTCAAGATAAAATAAAACATTTATCCTAATTTAAACTAGACAGTAACTGACATTAATTTTAAGAAAGTACGCTGAATAGTTTAGAGTCCCAACCTTTTCGTTGGATCTGTAGTAAAAGCTGTATACCCTCTCCTTTACTTTCTGCCGTTATTTCTACCTGATAATATCCATGGCTAAGGTCCAAATGAGAAAAATAATATAACTCCCGCACGAGAATCAAGAATCAATGTCATATCAGATCAGGCAGATAGGCAGCTTTTTCAAGTACTAAAAAAATCTGAAAACTAGTTTGAAATGTCGGTAAAATCATTTATTCATCATCTATGGAGTCCAATAATGCGGGCGAGGGTAAGACATGTTTCAGAATTCAATATTATCCGTATCTGTGCAGTTTATTTATTTATATACAGTTTGGGGTGTTAACAGGTAAACCCAACACACACCCTCAGTGAACTAAAACTAAACTTACATAAAATATCGTATACATATACATATATTACATTAATGAATACTTCATTATTAATATTTTTTTATCCTCCGATATTGTTGTAACAACATAAACTGAGTGAGTAGTTCTAATTATAAGCCATTAACTATTAATTTAACTTTTTTAATAAAAGGAGTATACATAATTTAACATTTACTTACGTTTTATTAAAACTAAAATCAAAATTAAATTGAAATTATACCAGAAATGATATTGGAGGTGATAACTTGAGTTATGTAAAAAAATAAAATATTTCTATTTTAGTCTGCCATAGAGCTGTAATACTCATACTTTAAAGCCTTTTTCAGGGAGGTCAAGCTAATGTTAAATAAATCTATATTACAGAAATTATTATGATTTTTTTGAGCCCTGAACAAAGGGGAACTAAGACCAAGATTGGTTCTACGGAACGGTATTCTAAACAGATGATAGGTTCTAAATGTTCCATCAGGAGTGTTAAAGATCAAGTTTGCCAAAAGATCCGGACAGTCAGTGAGGCCATTCAACAATTTATGGACACAGCAAATGTCAGAAATCGTTCTTCTATCTTTTAAGGAAATCATATTGAACTGTTTTATAATTTGCGTATAATGATGATCTGTAACAGGTTTTGTGAGTTTTATGTGCTAACATCTTCAAAAATTTGTGTTGAATTCTTTCTATCCTGATTATATGTACATTGTAAGACGGATTCCATATTACCGATGCAAACATCAGTTTGTTGTGTATATAAGCGTAGTACAATGAAAGAAGCGTTTTTGGGTTCGTAAATTCTCTGCATGTCCTGTTTATGAACCCTAGTGTTCTATTTGCATCATTTACGATGTGCTCTACGTGGGTGATGAATGAGAGTTTCTCATCAATGTATACCCCTAGGTCTTTTACTACATGAAGCTTTTCCAGTTCTGCCGTCCCTATCTTATATCTGAAATCTATAGTGTTCGCTATGTTTCTAGTAAGCCTCATGTAATGACATTTTGTTAAATTCAGGAAGAAACTGTTTTCAGTGCAATACTTTTGCAGAGATTCCAAATCGCTTTGAAGTTTTACACCGTCATTTACTTTTCTAACAATAGTAAATATCTTTATATCATCAGCATATAACAAATATTTACTGAAATGAAAAACAGAAGTAAGGTTGTTCATGTATATGTTAAATAACAATGGTCCTAAGTGACTACCTTGTGGTACGCCTGAAATTACTAAGAATGTCTCCGAACGATACCCATTGATAGTCACCACTTGTTTACGATTACTTATATACGATGCTAGCCACTGCCATAATGGACCATCTACACCCACCTCAGCAAGTCTCTCCATCAAGATAGAATGATCAATCTTGTCGAAAGCCCTACTGAAGTCAGTATAAATAACATCCACCTGCAGTTTCTCATCTATTGCGTGAGAGGCATATTCTATAAAACTCATCAAATTCGTCTCTACAGATCTTTTAGGGAAAAATCCATGCTGGTGTTCCGTAATGATATTTTTTGTAATGTTTAAGATAGGATCATAAATCAGCTTTTCAAAAATTTTTGAGAAAATACAAAGTTTAGTGATAGGTCGATAATTTTCCACAAGATGTCTATCGCCTCCTTTATGAATAGGCAATATTTCACCTTCTTTCCATCTCGTTGGAAAGACTCTTTCTCTTTGAGTTAATGATAGTTGTGAAACATCCTGTATACATGCCTGATCACAAACAAGTTGATGAAGACTGGATATTTCAAAAACGCGCAACGTGTTAATAGACATACATGATCCACAGGGAGCCAGAACATGCAATTTCTTTGGCATGTAAATAGCGCACCCAGAGAACGGAGATCGAAAACTGCCGAACTGGTTCAGTGCTGCAGCCATTCGAGAGGGACGGCCTCTTAAATTATTTACGAAATTTGGTCTAAGGAGTAAGGGTGCATGCATACCTGCGACAACGATAACAATAACAAAAGCGGTAACTGATTTTATTCCCTAACGCCAGGTGACGAACAAATATTGCGTAAACATTTCAAAAATGAGTTGTTTCTTTAATGTTAAGAAAAAAATAAAAGGCTGTCATACTTTGTTTCAGAGACTCCTGCTCATATTTGTAACCTTTTTGCGAAGTAAAAAATTGGAATCTGTAGGGTGTTTATCATCTTTTTAGCATTAGCCCATTTATACCTTTCCAGCCTCGGCAATTTTTTGAGAGATATTTCACGTATAGATTTTCTAGTGCAATTGTCTTGAAGATGTTCGGTAGGGTCGAGGAGAAACTTTATGATCGCGATATTGTCAAAAGGGTGGGAACAGGGGACCAACTGTTTGGCCTATTGAGTACCTTTGGCGGCGGCTTGATGGCCAAAAAATAGGCCCCCGGACCCAGTTCCTTCACTGTTCCCCAAAGGCAAAATTGGTGCCTGGGTGTTGTACCCCCTACACTTCGATTTTCGTTAACGCTCTTTAGTTTTGCGTATCAGCATAGTAGGGCCACCAATTTCGCTCTGGCCTGCGACTCCCTAAGCCTCCCGCAGGCCCCGAGCTTACTATGGGCCCAGTGCCCACAGCTTAAGACAACCCTGAGAGCAAAACCTTCAAGTTCTCTCAGCTGACCGCTAAATATGACGTAGGACAATACACGTGTTTTAAATATATTCTGTGTTAGCACGAGATAGCGTGAAGCGCCATCTAGCGCACCAGAATCGAACCATTGTAGATCGCGCACCGCTGCTATTAGTCGGAACCGTCGCAGTTCCCGTTTAATACATGCTGATGAGTAGCTAAGAAGCACAAAACAGCTTCCATGGTTAGCTGTTTCTTCTCTTGGTCGGGCGGACGAAGGCATCTCATTTTGTTTTGACACATTCTGTTTAAAATGAAACCTCATGGATCGATCATTTTTTTAGAGGTCTGGTTTTGGCACCTAACGTTTTTGGATAAACATACCTTTAGCTATTTTCCACATTTTTTCAAATCAGTATAAAAATCGGTCGGGACTCAGGACACTTTTCCTAATATACTAAGTGACATATAAATCCGAACACCCAGTTTAAATGGTTTTGTTTTAATAAAATTTTGTGTAAGTACTTAATGAAGCATAATAAGTCAATGATAAAAATTTCAAAATGATTCCACTGCTTTAAAGCACTTTGACCTTTAATAATGTGTGGATGCACCCTGATGTGCTACGCATTCTCCAACGCGCCTAGGCATGCTTCTGATCAGGTGGTCAATGTCCTCCTGTGGTATCTCATTCCAGGCACCCACCAACTCCTCTCGAAGTGCTTCTAGAGTCTGAGGAGGACGTTGCAACCTCCTACCCATCATATCCCACACATGCTCAATTGGGGATAAGTCGGGAGATCTTGGTGGCCATGGTAACAATGTGACATCATTATGTTGAAAGAAGTCTATTGTGACTCTTGCAACATGTGGTCGGGCATTATCTTGTTGGAAAGTTGGATCTGCCAGGGTGTCAAGATAGGATAAAAGATGGGGTTCTAGAACTTTGTGGATATAACGCTGCGCGTTCATGTTACCTCTGATGAAGATTAAAGGTGACCTGGAACCATAAGTTATAGCACCCCAAACCATAACTCCAACAGTGTGATGAACATGTCTTTCAACAAAAAACTGTGGATTCCTCCTTTCACCACGTCGCCTTCTAACCCTGGCACGACCATCGTGCATGCCTAAACAAAATCGAGACTCGTCACTAAAGACAATACTGTTCCATTCCTGATCCCAGAGTGACCGTTGTCTGCACCACTCAAGGCGATTACGTTGGTGTTCTCGAGTTAAAGGGAGGACCCAGTGTGGCCGGTATGAAAACAAGCCAAAACTTCTCATTCGTCGGTAAATACTTCGCATGCCAATAGGTCTTTCGTGTTCTGCAAACCATTAATTTGCAGTGGACCTGGTAGTGGAGAAACGGTCCCTTAAGGCCAATAATCTTAGGCGGCGATCTTCACGGTCTGTTGTTCTACGGCGGCGTCCAGTGCCCCTTGCTCTTTGCGTACGGCCTTCTCGAAGCCATGCCTGACAACACCTAACCACAGTGTCTACACTTCTGCGCACTCTAACTGCAATTGCCCGAAAAGAAAGTCCAGCCTCCCGAAGTCCCACTATACGGCCCCTATCACACTCACTAAAATGACGAAATCGTACAGGATGTCAAGAACCAAAATCCGCCAACGTTGATTCTTTACTGCGGCTGAAATATTCATTTTTAGAGCGATGGTGAATTAAAAAAAACCAGTATAAAAACCGGAATGTCCAACTGACAAGGCTGCAAATTTTTTCACTTGTTATTTACAGTAAGATGAATACATTCACCAACTTTTATTAAAATAAAACCATTTAAACTGGGTGTTCAGATTTATATGTCACTTAGTATAGTTATTGAGTGTTGTGAAATATCGTTCTTTCAAATTATGCATCTTGATAGATAAACGAACATCACAAGCTTCAAATGTTGCAAAGTCTAATAAACTTAATCTTCCATAAATTACACCGTTATTATGTCCTATTACATTGTAAACCTACCTTTACCTGGGTTAAACGAGGGTGACCGTCGCCGGCCAAACGCCCCGGCCGGCGCGGCGCGTGCACAATCCGGCAACACGGGCGAATTTAGCCTCATCACGTCCAATCGGTGCCCGGCCGGCTACCGCTAGTGCGCACGCGCCGCAACAGACCGGCTTGCGCACATGGCCAACTATAACCACGCTGAGGAGCCGATTTTCAGTCAGTCATAAGCAAGCAGACGTATCGTATCTGCTTGACTCAAACTACCAACCGTTTTTAATAAGACTACACTAGATATTTATATTTTTGTACCGGTAAACACGTTTTTACTAACGCTAAACATCGTTTTTATGCTCGACGAATAAGTAGACAATCACACAGAGTTATACGTGAGAGACTTGAAAGACATGCCGGCTAGTAGCTTGTTCGCTGAAATGGACCGCGGTAGTGGCATCGGCGACGAAAGGGCATTGCAGTTGGCCCTGGAATTATCCATGCTCGGCTTCAACGAGCCCTTGGCCTCGGTGGTTTCGGAACCCGAGAGCCCTGCGGATCTGGGTTCGTTCGTTAACCCCCTTGCAGGGGTCGGTCTGGAGGAGGTTAGGTCCAAGAAGTCCCAGAACATGACCGAGTGCGTTCCAGTGCCCAGTTCCGAGCATGTGGCCGAAATCGTCGGCAGACAAGGTAAGTGAACTACGAGTAGGTGGAATGACCGAACAGTGGAATATCTGCAACAGCCTGGTTTTTGCAAGGTGTTTGTTTGCTTTGATGGGTTAAAAAAACAAAAGCATAATATACTACATTATGTTCCACACGTGTTCAGAAACACTACTTAAAAACTGCAAATTTAGTACTCATTATTTGCACATTATTCTAAAATGAGAAAATGTTGATAGGGTTCTGAAGGATTGCAAAGCACGATCGTACAAAGTAAAGAAGAGAAGATATTTTCCAAAATGGTTTCCTTATAGACACGGAATTTGTGTTAACATTATTTCTTACCTACTATGTATTCCCGTAATTCTTAAGTAGCGACTTCAACTAAATAATAAATATGTTTCTCAGAAAAGCTTACTAAAGTAGTCAATTTGTGTGGTTGAAACACATTTTAAGTCTCCAGAATGGGAACTCCAAATTACAAAGCTAGACTGTTCACTGTTTTTGCAGATCTTCTGTTATTTTCGAGGAATTTGGTATCTTGAGTGTACAGCTAGAATACCTGGTTTTAGGATTTGTATTTATTTTGTAATTTCAAATTACACGTTTGTTGTAGAGTGCATTGGGATGGTAGTTATGTTTATTTCAGATAAACTTTTTTTTATTTGGTGTCATCCTAGCAAAAATTTTGTGTAGATCATTTTTAGTTTGTGTTTTGACCTATTTGTGACTGCGTCGTCAATAATGGTTGTACAGATTTTGTTAAAGACCGAGGTACAAGTGGTCATAGTAGGTATTTCGGCAAATTATTTTCAATAATAATTTTGCAATCTTTTTAAATATTCATCAATTGTTTCAAGAGTTATAAAAAAGTTATGCTCTGTCCAAATCTTGGTACAAACTAATACTATCTCAATGTTAAACCTTTTTTTTTCACATGAGTGGCAGTATGGATCCATTCGATGTCTGTATTCCAGAAAAGGAATTGTTCGTTTTGTAGGGGTTTCGCAGTTTTTGCTTAAGCGTCTCGTCTGCATTTGCACCATAGTGGATAAATCCTGCATTGTTTATCATACGTAGTACACAAGTAGGGCATATTTACAATTCATCTGTGTCCTAGTCTGGCTGTGTAGGAAGTGTTTATTATGCATTGTTTAACTGACATACGTCTCTTGTATCCCCCAATCATGTATGACATGCTGCTTTTTGATCACACTGAATTAGCGATGTGCATAATACGGCGACTCTTGAACAATGCTATATCATCTCACTATATTGTATTCAATTGAAGAGTAATACTTTTACTTACTCATCAGTGGATGTGGGTGTATTGTAACTCATTTCCAATTAGGAAGCTTTTCCCCTCTCTCATAAGAGCAAATTATTATCCTAATCTGAAACTCATTTTTGCAAATCAACAGGGTACTAATAAAGTATCTAGCAAAACTGCAAATAGTAGTTCTTTGGGTGAGGCATACAAATAGGAATCAGCCAAAGCTTGGTTTTTTAGATAAAACATGTTGGTAAAGTCTGAATTTGATTTTTTTTTGTTGAAAATTTGTCGGAACCGCATTACGCTTGAAAATAAAAAAATCTAAGATTTGTCGGAATTCAATAGACGAGGGACTTTAGATGTCTCCAAACACAAAATTCTAAGCGATTTAAATTCTTCTTACTTGGTTTTGAGCTTCCGGAATTACCACTGTGTAAGTCATATTTCAAAAACTCAAAGAAGTTTCAACAGCCTGTATACTAGGGCGTAGATAAAATTGTGGATACAAGATATCTGACAAACTACAGATCAAAATATTTTTGTTCATTTCTAAGCCTAAACACTAAATAATTTCCTTTTTTCTACTATACTTGTTTTTTATTTGCCAGATAGGGGTAACTATATTGTAAGAAGCATTTTAGCTCAAGTAAGTGGGCGACTCTGTTCTTATCTTTAACGGAAATCGAAAGCCGAGAAAATTAATTGTTAACAGTATAAACCATAAAAACTGTTGAAATTACACTTGAATGAGTAATTTGTCTTGAATCAGTCGAAATTGTAGCTTATTATTATTAGCTTGCCATTAAAAAATACCTGCTGGATAATGAGAGAAATGACGTGTAAACCACCATGGGTTTAGAAGAATCTTATGGGTCAAGGGCTCAGAAGATTTTTTTTAATTTCATTGTTGCTAAATTTTTAAGTAATCTTGTTCGAAAATCCACGAAAAAATGAACTATTAAGTGAAACCAGATTATTTTTATAACGTGCAGGCGATCTTTCTATAATTTGGAAACTACTTCTGTAGGGAGACTATACATCAAGATAAATAATAAAACTAAGTTACTAAGCAAGCGATGGAAATATTGCGTGCTTTTCGCTTTTACTTGCTACACCACTGGCACTGGGCGAACATTTTGAAAATTGGATATTATG